GTCTCCGACGCCCCCCCCCCCCGGCCAGTCGCCGACAATTCCAAATTGCCTTCTATCATGTTACACCCCTGTCCAATTAGCCCAAAAATGTACCAGTACTATTAACGCCAAAACTGATTCCACCAAACCATATAGTTTACATACCCAAAGAACACCCTTAGAAAAAAGAAAGTACACGTCCAAGTGTAGTTCCATTACATTACGTTTCTACATGTACATAGTTTGGACATGCATTATAACGAGAAAAGATTTCCATTATCTTTATTGGACTTTTATTATGTGGATGTGAAGTGTATAAGTACTATATTTTTAAGTCCAACCAATAAAAAAACAGATATGGAACATACGTCGAAAAAGTTTCCATATTCAATTTCACGTCGATATCAAGATTTAAAAAACTCACAGCTCGATGGCTTTTACCTTAATTAAGTCATCAGAATCTTAGATGTAGTGGAACGAATCATGGACTGTGACATATCAGCTGTTGTTTTTATAGATTTCAATAATCGTAGCAATCTACCTGCAAGTCTGACAATTATGAAATATAAACTAATCGAAAATGTAGACGGTTAGAAAATCATTTCAGAAACATTATGTCCTTCATGAGCATGCTATAAATAAATTAGATTTTGTTAATGTTGACCTGCATAACTATATTTCATAATCGTTAAGATGGAATTGTCAATGACAAGACAGTAGGGTAATAATGATTGCACAAGATATAGTTGATCTAAATCTTTGACATTATTGATATTCAATCACAAAATTAATATTATCAGTCTATATGTTCTTAATTATTTTATTATGCAACTAGTATCTGAATAACATCAGTTGCCTTCTCTTTTAATTCTACTACTGTCTATACTATATATATTTTAACTGTCTAGCGCTTTTACTGTATTTCCAAGAAAGTTTTTCTGAATGTTTTTTTTTAAAGATACTTTTTAATAAAAAATATAGATATTTTTGTTATGCGTTCTTATTTTATTATTTGAAGTTATTTTATTATTCACTTAAGTTAAGGTCTCTTTCAGTTCAATAAATCTTTAGATATTTATGAAAGTAATATCAAGATAATGAAAAGAAATTTTTTGTTAATTATCACGAAATAAGTTGTATAAGGAGATACAAGTAGTAATGTAGAATATTTACTACCGATTAATCTTGCCATCCAATGGATTTTTTTATCTTCACTGGTTGAAGTTCTATTATGCCCTTCTATTGCGAACATTCAAGCTTAGCCTAACATTATGTTTATAATTTTCTGCTTGCTTGCTATTGTGTGTGCAAATAGCTAGATAAAACAATTACGCCATTACTATTATCTTTATATTTACTAGATAGAAAAAACATACGGAATTGCAGTTCATTTCAATAATAAATCAAGTAGTATTAAGTAATATCTTTGGTGTCTGTCTATATCATTTGTATATCAGCAGTTGTATATTTATGAGGGAATTGTATCCAGTATTTTTTTAAATCTATAAGTAATAAAACTTACTAAGCAACCAACTAAAGAATGGGTCCAATAGTATTTTTTAATATCCAGTATTACAAATTTTTAAAAGACTCTATTTCTAGATTTAAAAGACTACTAAAGAATATATTTTTATTATATATTCATATATTATATATTCATAACTAAATATAATTTTGAAAATAAATTTACACCTTATAGATTCAAAAAAAGGATGGAGAAAATACCAGTTTCGAAACTTATTTGGGATTTTTTGTTTTTGTTTTGCTTTTGCACGTTTTTTAGCATGCATCTATAATAAATCGTTCGGTGTATGCGTTCTTTACATTTATAAATGTGCATCTACATATACCGTAACTCAGTTACATCTATACTCACATTTACACATAAGCTTTTTTGTATTGTTTGCATACTTTTCTGCAGTTGTAAAGTAATTATAAAATACAAAATATTGTTAGAGAGATGCCTTTTGAATTTAGATATTTAAGTACTTAAAATGACAGAGGACAAGTGGTGAAAAACCGAATAACATAAACGCAAGATGTGCACAAGATAAGAATTTCATCAAATCAAGAGTTTTCAAACATCACCATAAAATATTATTATAAAAATATTTAAATGGATAATAGATAGTTGATAATATATATAAAGAATATTTATCATTGACATAACATATTATTTGTCTTATATGTTAAAAAATATTAAAATTGTATTTACAGATCGTATGTAATTGTTGTTGTGAAATATTAGAATTTGAGAAATGATAAACTATTTGCTTATCTATGAGCCTTGAAAAATAATTTAACGAATAGAGTACAATTTCCGATATTTATTCATTTGTATTGAACAATAATGTACTTTATGTCGCAATTCAATAATTAATTTTTTTTTTATTTCAATATTTATAACATTTATATATTTATTAAATTTTAATTTTTATAATATCATAGCATTCAATTATTACATATACAGTTGTAACGAACCTTCATAGTACTTTTAGCAGATGCAAACATGTATAAGTGTCCTTCGACGGTCTGAATAGAAAAATGTTTTGCACGATAGGATTTAGAGCACTCCTATCTCTCTCTCTCTCTCTCTCTCTCTCTCTCTCTCTCTCTCTCGCTCTCTCTCAATTTCAGTCTGTAGAAAAACAGAGAAATTAATGAAATTCGTTTGAAAATTTTATTAATCATTTAAATATATAATTTTAATAAGAACAATGAATATGTAGTATTTACATTATATATATTTCGAATATATCTTTGAATTTAAATGGTGGTTTTTGTTTTTCGATAAACTTTTTGTATATTTTCATTCTTTTTATGTAAATATTGTTGTACTATAATTTTAAGTAGTTTTTAACATTTGTTTGAAAAATATTCACTTATAATCTTTATTCTAGAAATATAGAAACTATTTACATTATGCCCATACAAAAATATTTAAGTATTATTCGTAAACATGTATTTAATTAATGTTACAAAGCAATGAAATTTAACGAGTAATGCATTGTACCGTTATAAATTTTAAATTTCAGAAATTAGCAAGCAAATTACTAATTAATATTTTATTATTACATTCCTGGAAAATTTGTCGATGCAGGATTCTGTTAGGTTCTTTCTGAAAGGTTTCTGATTCATCTTCTGTGTTCGATTGTTCTTCAATTCTCTTTTGAGTGACATTAGCAATACATTATATTAAATGAAAACACTATATACACGCTATTGCATCTTCGTTTCAATTTCTTAGTGAATTATATGACGAAAATGATAATGATCAAATGAAAGCAAGTCTATTTGGACTAGTTTTTTACATTGAATTTTATTACTAACATTACATCATAATATATATAACTACTATTGGTTTTGCAAATTTAGTTTAATTATCACATTATTTTTATTAGGATATTAATTAGTTATTAATTCATTTTAATGTTCATTATTGGTGCAAAATAAAAAAATAAAAATATTATAAGATTAAAATAACGCTGTTATTTATACATGCAAGTGAAAAATTTTAAAACATCAAGTTTCTTATTATGAAATTTCATTTACATATAAATTTTCTTTTCGTTAAATACTTGAAGTTTTATATGTAATTTTAATTTAATGCAATGTATAATGATGATTACCTTATATGATATATCGGCAGAGTGTAATCAAACTGTGGTTCCCTATTTGCTAATATTATTTGCTTTTTTTTAATAATTACTAGTTTTCCGAATATAAAACATCAATAAAACATAAAAATTTGATTTTCTTTTAATATTTCTGTTCATACTATAAAAATAAAAAATTTGTTCTGAAACAATTTTTGTAATAATCATCATGCATTTGAGATTTTACATCAAATTAACTGTATAAATATTTAATCTAATAAAATTTATAAATTTCCAAATTATACTTAGCTATTTTAGCGATCGAAATTTCTTTTTTTGAAGCAGTTTTCTAATCGTAATTTGAAACTAGAAGTTTTAATTATTTTTTAAAATTGTTTGCAGAAATTTCGATTAAATTCTTTTTGCTTATATTATTATGTGTGGATACAGAAATAATTAAAAAAAAAACGAAAAAAATTTAATGAAAAAGAACATACGAAAATAATAGTTAATTGTTAAGTTGATTTATTTGAATGTGTTAGTAATTTATTATTGGGGTAGCCATTATTGGTATCGATGCGCAAATATACCAAGGAATGCATGGTTGGCATGAGAAAAAGGTAGATTTAGGGAATACCCATGCTAATTTTTTAAACTAATGCTATTATTTCTCATTTTCTCCCTATCTCTTTATTTATTTTTATTTTTCTTCTATGTTAACAACTTGGTTCATTTTAGAACTTCTTTAGCTTTTCTATTATAATATTTATGCTAAAATCTACGAATCTCCAGCTTCTATTTTTTATACTATATATACACTTAAATACTTGAATCAGTACATCTCATTTCGAAAACAATTTATTTATATTAGATTTTACGTGAAAATGTGTATTGCATTGTACAAATTATTATTTTTAGTGTTTTATTCGTAGCAAGGAAATTATTATTCGAAATTTAGTTATATATCGATAAGTTATTTTAATTTAATCTAAGCCACTGAATTTATGATTTAAAATAATATTAATTGATAATATGTAATTGATAGTATCTATAGTAATCCTGAGTAATACACACTTCTTTATAAATTTATTCATTATATATTTAACGAATTTCACTAATAAAATTTTGTGGTTACTAATAACTTATTTTTCAGAGAGTCATTTTATACTGTGTGAGTTTTCGCAATATATCTAACTCGCTGCTGATTTTGCTTAACGCGATTATTTTTTTTATTTGAGTATTCCTATTATAAGTTTTTTTTTTAAATAGAGTTTAATATAATATAAATTATCTGATGCAATTTAAATAATAGTTAATTATATCCTGCAAATCTGTGAATTTCACCTGTGAGCAATAGAAGGAAAAATAAAAAGTAACTTTTACAACCTTAGAAACGCTGCTTCATTATTAGCTTAATAACTTTTTTTCGTTTTTTGAATGTAACTTTGGTTTATAGATACATACACAAATGGTTAAATATTTGTCTTTATCAACATTCAATATTTTTAAATCTATTTCTTTCTATTCGCTTTCGAATTCATGTGCATAGATTCAGATGCATTAGATTAATTTTTCACTTCTATTTTATATTTTATCTCTGAATTTTGTCTCACAATAATTAAAGAATGCAAATTAGTCCCTTGTTATTTTTCATGACCTTTTAAATTACTATTGGCTCATTTTATTTTAGTTAAGCTAAATGCGAGGATTGTGTGAGGATGGGCTGTCCTTTAATTATATTATATATCTTTAGAAATTTATTTTATTTTACAATTTATTTTTAATCTAACATATTGCTTTTATTTTACATCATTGTTAGATAACAGAAGTTGAATAAAATTTTTAGAGTTGCCCTTTTTCAAAAAACAAAAATTACCCAACATTCAGTATCAGTTTTTTATGAACAATAGTTTTTATAACAAAATTAACATTTCAACTAAATTTATTTTTTATCTACATGCATAAAAATAAAATTTGAATTATTAATACTTATATTTATGATTGGATACTCTAAAAGTTTTAGAACAGAAAATATTTCTGATTACATTTTAGTTTAATTCCAATTTTATTTCCCTTCAGGTTTGGTAAATATATGACGCTTAACCTAGTTAAAAACGTCAGGAAAAATCCATAAATAATATCTGCATTGTTATTATTCATGTGTCTTTAATTTTTGATGTACTCAAAAAATACGTACGAATTTTAAATCTTTTTATTTAGAGATTGCGTTGTGTAGTAACTCAATGTTCACTCAGGTGCATAAAATATATGCATGAATAAGATTAATAATTATAGAATTTAATTATTATATTTTTAAAAGGTATCAAGAAAATCTATTACTTACAATCTATGATTATTCAAATTTTTAATCAAGATTAAACATTGAAAAGGATGTTTATTTAATATATTCAAATTTGGAAATTTAAAAATTTAGGATCTTTATAATTGAATTGATAAAAGAAAATTTTTTGTAATATATATACCGAAATATTACATAGCGACATTATATATATAATATTATCTTTTGCATGAATGACATAAACGGATTTATATACATAAATATTTTGAGATAGGATAATCTATATAAATTGAGAAGCGAATTGAAGTAGTGGGAGTTAGAGTAAAACATTGATTTGAATCTAGGATGCGCTTTGTTTATTTGCGTACGTCAATCAGGGAATTTCTTTACAAGCATTTAATCATTATTTTTTATCATTTATTCTTTGTTGTCTCAACCTACTCTCTCTCTCTCTCTCTCTCTCTCTCTCTCTCTCTCTTTATTTCTTTCACATTATATATGAATTTATAATTTTTTATTTTATTTGACCGATAAATAAGCAATATTATCCATTAATTTCATAAACTATAATAAATACGTTGAACTAATATTGTAAATATAAAAAAATTTACTCAATTAATTGTGAGAGAACTATACATGTTGGAAGTGCTCTTTTGTAAAGGCTATCCTAGAATATGTTAAATGATAAATTTTGAAAATTATCAACTTTCAATTATACTGTGAAGCTATAATGTGTATTTATTTAAAATAGTTATTATTACTTATCATTGTTTTGATTAATATATGTTTCAATTGAAAATAGCAAAATCATTAATATAACAAATGGAAACTGATAAATATAGAGAAAAATTAAGATTACTTTGAATCGATTAATGATTTATTTTTTAATTTTACTTATAATTATTTTGTTAAAAGTAAACAGAAGAAAATTCTTCACATTCACTTCTAATCTTTATATTCAATATTATAATACGTATTTTTCATTAATGCTGAATTGTTAGATCAATTACAAGAATTTACTTAAGTAGTATTATTTATTTTCAAGCAAATCTTAAATTTTGAATGAAGTAAATGCATTTATTTTAATGGCATTTTAATATTTAACTTTCTATTGAAAGGCTCGTTTTTAACTTTTCGGAGATTTATTAGAAAATATGATATAGTAAAGATAGAATAACAATGAAACTGGAAAATGAGCTAAAGGAAGTAAATTCAAATGCGACAGAAAATTCGTAATACTGCAGTCATAAAATACTAGTCTCGTATCAGTTTAATAATTAATTTCTGCTTTATTCGCAATATTTTAATTGTGTAACTAAGCTATTAAAAAAGAAATAAACGATGTAAGACGAAAAGTGAGTGCTGTATACATGTGCGTGTGCCTGATTTGTATTGTATTTTATACAATAGTTTCGTAGTTATTTGATGTTATCACTTTTATGTGTCAATATGCCATACATACATATACACAAATGCACACGCACGCCACAGTGTGCTCTTTACACCTTTCGTCGTATTTGATAAATATCCCTAAGTTGTTTGATTCAAGCAACATACAAAAAAAATTATACAGATGCACACAGACAAATAGACACATAAACATATCCGAAACAACAATTTTATTTCATGCGGAGTCAACCTATTCCCATTTTGTTTTGGGCGTTGTTGCAGATGGGGAAACTTGGTAGCAGTCCGTTAGCTGGCTTAGCTGCTCTGGGCCTTGGAGGACTTGCGGCACCAGCGAATACAGGAGGTCTTAACCCAGCAGGTAATTTCCGTCCACGAGCGATGTAATTTCCTATTGCAAAATCATTATCGTATCTTATTTCGATAGAAAAACATATCGGAATTAGTAATTGTTATTGTAAGATTAGCGAGAAAAAATAGTTGCAATATACAAAGGAGAGCATGAGTGACAATCCCGATCCAAAATAATTACATTAATGATTCCAGCAATATTTGAACTCACACTTATTGTGTAGATATATTTTCTGAATTATAATTATAACATTACGATTGGTATATAACTTCAATTTGTTCAAAGATAATTTTTATATGCACATGTTAATGTTAATATATATAATACAATTAATGATACCTATACAGCTATTAATAAGGGATATACGTATTCAACAGAATTAAGTTATAATTATTTTTATGGAATATGTATACATACAGTAAAAATAATTTTTTCATTTTCATAACTTTGTTTTAATTGATTGCCCATTAACAAGTCTTCATTAATCATGCTATTTATCACGTAATAAATATATTTAGCAATTGAAGGATCATTAACTAAATAATAACTCCGAATTTGTTTACAAGTTTTTTTTATCTTTTTTATATTTTCACTTGAAAAATATCTTAAATTAATTTATTTGATTGAAATTAATCTTTGCTTAGAAACTCGAGAAGTGATATTTAAATGATACATTTGATTATATTTTCTAAATAGATCGTTTGAAATATATTTAAAAAATTTTTATTTCTTACACTTCACAATTGACGCTATTTGCAAAGATTATGTTCTATTATATTTAGGTTATGTTATTATGTTCTTATATTATTATATTCAGTAGAATAACATATTTTTCATTAAAAATTATAATCATTTCTTTGATAATTGTAGATTGATATCATATATTTATAAATTATTTAAATTAAAAATAATGCTATAGTATTATAAATAGCCTCGATCATATTTACATTGTATACATACCAAATTCTAACAAATTGGATAATTTTATTGTATATATTTAATACTTCTGCTTCTATAAGACAAACAGATCATTAATCTGACCCTTTTTCGATCTTGACCTGACGGCCTAGCATTGGCAGCATTGGCGGGTAGTCAGTTGCGCACCAACAATACGAATAGACAACAGCCAGCTGCCAACAACCAGACACACGAGATGACGGTGCCCAATGAACTCATCGGCTGTATTATCGGCAAAGGTGGTACCAAGATCGCCGAGATACGCCAGATATCTGGCGCTATGATACGCATTAGTAATTGTGAGGAACGAGAGGGTGGACCGACAGATCGCACTATCACCATCACGGGAAATCCTGACTCAGTGGCGCTTGCTCAATATCTTATCAACATGAGGTGAGTCTACCATGATAAGATTTAATCTTATTCCTTTGTTTTTTTTTTGAATGATAACAGCTTGCGAAACGCCTCGATACTTCAGACCATTATTTCTATAAATGAATGTATATACATATGTATATATGTATGTACATATGTAAAAGTACATGTGTGTGTGTGTGTGTGTGCGCGCGCGCGCGCGGTGCGTGCGTGCGTGCGCGTATGAGTGAGTACGTGAGTTATGTGTGCTTTCTTTTTTGTCATGTGAAAATCAATCATTTGGTTGAGAGGTATGATCTTTAATATAATATATTGCTTCTATCTGCCTAAGAGAATGCATACATATGTATATGAATATGAGTGCGGACATTACTTAGCACATGAATATTAAAGTATGAATTTAATGAAATTACATTCATTAATCATAATTCTCTGAGTATATAGTCATGTGCTCGAATAAGTACGTATCGTTACGTGTGTACGCATGTATGCATATCAGAATAAGGGGATGAGTAAATAATGATATTGTATAAGATAAGAGAAAGAAAGTGGATTTGATTTTTTTAATCGGTGTCATGATCATTTTGATTCCTATGTCAAACAAAAAAATCTTTTATATTTACTTTCTCGCAACGGTGATGCACATGTTTTTCATACTTTATTCAGTATTAAGACAATAATTTTTCAACACTTTGTAAATGAATAAATAGTTGGTTTTCTTGATTAAATCTATTTATCACATATGTTATTTTTGTTCATATATATAGTATAGTATAGTATAGGTATTTAGAAAAATAGAAATTTTAATTGCGTAATAACCAATTTAGCCTGCATCATGTTCGTATCCCATTCAAACTTTTTGTTTTTGCTTTTGTGAAACATTCGTTATTTCACCAGGTAGTAACGAACGAAGCAAACTTTTATCAGAACTTTATAAAACTGTAGAACAATAGATAGTTTGAATCATGTAAAATAAATATTTTAAACGGTTAAAAATAAATAAATAAAAAAGTGATACGCGAAGTCTTATGAAAAATAAATATCCTCAGATCATAAACCAACATTTTATTTTCATTGGTCAATGCTAATTCTATTATCGCGTCTCATCATTGCGAGGATATGTAGTTTGATAACTCTTATATAAATGCCATTAGTAAAATGGTTGGATAGCTTTATGGAAGCGTTATCTGTGAGCGGTTCTAATGTCATAAAGCCAAAAAAGGAACAAAAAAAAATTGGGATGTTTTTTAAACAAGGAAAAAACAAACATAAAAACAGGGTGTATCATCTCTATTCATAATAGTTCGTAAGATTGTGTAACACAGCAGCGATTATTAGGCATCGGTAGCAACAGTGGCCAAGGTGAGACAAACGAAAGAAGAGAAATTCAACTATGGCGTCGGCGGCAGCGGCGGCGGCTGCGATAATGATTAGCAACATCGAGGACTATTCTCTAATTCCTTTATTTCCAGGTCCTGTATATTTCCAGGCCCAGACAAACAATACCTTGAGAATCCTGCAGACTCGACTGTCCACACTTGAAATGACATTTTTTGTTATCCTAAACGTCTGGCCTGGCACTGTTCCTCTTATTTCATGATGAGTTACGTGGATCTATCCGGAACGGAAATAACGGCAAATATTTTTTCTTTATTGATTTTTCTTTCGTTTTATTTATTTATTTGTTTTTATAATATATCATACAGTCAATTCCGTTCCACAATATTACATTTTGTACACTGTATAATACTTTTTCATTTCAATAGTTCATGAATGTTTAAAATTAACGTTATTTCCGATCACAGAAATTTCTGTTTTCCTCCTTCCATAGGATACTATCATTCAATCGAGGACGAAGATTCCCGTCGGTCCTTGGCAGAGCATCATTTCCTTTCCTCGGACTATACTCGGAGATAAAAGTTCTTTTTAACTTTGTTGTTTTATTATATTTTTTTATCATTACTTATCTATATGCTACTAATTTACTTTGTACTAAAATTTTAATTTGTATTAGAACTTTAATTCTAAATATTTAAAATATGGTATAGACATTGTTAAATAATGGTTAAAGGTGGTGTGTATTTTTCAGTGCTTAATGATATTTTTTCTCCGAGTAAAATGGATCGTTATAGAAATTTACATAAAATTTTCCATACCTTAGAGGCTTCTGTTTATAATCCCACAAATATATAATTTTTTCCAATGGTAATGTATTCATGTAATACGTATAATCTACAAGTTAAAATTATCAAAAAAAATCGTTAATTATAAAGTACCACGAATTTAATGCCTGATTTAATATATGGTATTCATTCATATAGTTAAAGAAACAAATAATTCTTCTATTTTAGTAGCGGATGCCTCTTCGTGCTAATGTTTTATTATTACTTTTTGTTCTAATAACTTCATATTGTATGGGCATACAATATATATTTTATTTATAATATTTTTTCTGAGAGTTACAAAACGCGATATCTGATAATTACTAAAATTAGGGCGTATTATTTCTACGCATGTAATTTATATATACTATATAGATATACTATATAGATTACATTCATAAAAATAATAGTTATTCTTATTGTTACAACTCCTAGAATATATAGATTTATTTTTCTGTTAATCAGTATTCTTCTTTTAATGTTAATTATAATAAATATTCTATTGAAGATTTTGAGAATAATTAAAGAAATATATAATTATTATAAAAGACTTTTTATTAATCAATTTATAGATTTTTAATTGTACTAACTTTCTAATTTATTTATTGCAATTATGATTCAATTAACATCATTTAATTTATTTGGCATAAAAGATGCATTCTTCTGTAACCCTATAGAATTTAAATTTTATTAAAATTATTATTTAAATAAATTTAAATTATTTGCGACGCCCTAATATATATATCTTTTCAAATATTTATTATTAGAAATTAATTTTATATTATTAGGTAACTACTTATTGATCAACTTTTTAATTCAATTTTAATTTATGTAATTTTGATAGATTTTCGTAATGGTTTGTGAATTTATATTATGTTTATGACCACGTGAGCAATATTTGTTCTCTCAAACGAAAATTTTATCTGGAGATAAAATGACCGTTCGACAAACGTCCTTAACCAAAACACTTAACCGCAGATCCAACAAAATGATACATCCATGGCATCACCATAAGCACCCTGTATTATTTTAATCCAATATATATTATTCCAGATATCATTTACCTTATTAATGCATATACCAGTAAAAAAACAATCAGTTTCCTGAGATTGTTCTATTTATCATAATTTGTTGTGAATTTTATTATTTATCACATCATCATCCTCGACCAGCCAGCCAGCTAACTATCTACATTGCACTCATTCCATTGCGACCTGCACTTTCTCCTGAAACATGGTTCTACTTTCATTTTCCTAGCAATAACACGCCAACATGCGCACGTAATTAGAAATCACTTCATCATTCAATTTTATCCTTTTTGCTTTTAAATACACATATTCAGCGTTTAAAGTGCAGATCGTGTTATTTAAACAATTTTTTCATATACGTTTATTATTTTTCAACCTTTTTTTTCTGAAGAAACAGACTTGGTGGTTATATGCAAAACCGAGATTTACAGACACCCAAAAATGTTAGTTATAATGGAGAATTCGAGAGCAACCGGTACCTATTCTCAACCGATTTTGTATTTACTACTAATTCGCTTTAGATTTTTATTTATTGATTTGAGAGTAGCATTCTGCATTAATTAACTCTTACAAGCAATTATTGTTACTAATTGTAAATATATGAGTAATTTCAACTTTCAGCTTTTCGGTTTTTCGAAAAATATGCTAAAAAAGGATGTTGATGCCATATCTTACCGCGTTATTATGAGTCTTAGTCATATCATATCGATGAATGTCTTATGTTGACAGATAGAGCAGTAAAATACTGACATGTATTTAATTTTAAAAAGATAATTTAACATTAAAAAATTAACTAGATATTAAAGAATGAAATACAAAATTATCTTTAAAAAAAAAAACATTTTCTTTGTTTTATACAGTATATAATTATTACCTATATTTACTATGAAGTGTAAAACATTAATATGCAATTAATTAATTCATCATTCATTACAAGTATTTAAATACTAAAATTATTTTTATAAATTTAAGTACTACATTTATTACTATTTATTATTATTTGTGTACAAAATTGTTAATCATAAAATATTATACTATTAAATTTATATATTTATTTTATAATTATATAAATAGTATATGTTTGAATAAGTAAAACGAATTAAAACAATATTCTGTTTTTATCGAATGTTTAATGTTGTATGATATGTGTTTCACCGAAACACAATATAATTTTATTTCAATATTATTCATCCTATTAAATATATTATTTATATTACTATAATCTAAACTATTTGTCACCGATCTATTATGCCAGTTTAACGGTTTTCAATGGTTGGTTATGTGAATTTGATAGATAATAGAGTTCTTAAATCTGCAGAAAATATTACTCACTCTAAAATTTAATTACATTTCATTGATCGAAAATTATAAGTTAAATGTTTTGTAAATTTTTTTTTACCAATCTATCTGTTTGTATGGACTTCACATAAAACTTTCCTACATTTTAAAATGAATTTTATTTAACGAGTTTTAATTTTGTGAAAAGATTATTTTCAAAATTAATGTATCGAAGTGCATGTATTACGATATGCTTTCTATTTTATATAAATGAAGTCCTGTCATTTAAGTCAGCTTAATTTTTTATATTATAATTTACTTTAATCATTTTCCCATTCTTTCATTATTAGGCTTTTTATAATTAAACAATAACGTATACTTAGTTACTTCGAATTATTATAAATTATTTTTAAAACTAATAAAAGAAATATAAAGTGAATATTAATATTATCATTTCAACAGTTGTTAATATACATAAATTATTGTATTCGTTACTATTGTAAACCAAGTATTTTAAGAATGAAGAATTTTTCTTTTAATTTGACTGAAAGCTCTTATTTCGTGTAATGACCAATGTTTATTTCAATATATTTTGTTATTTTCTTACGGAAAGTTAATGAAATCATACAAGTCACAATATAATCTGAAACTGTAATTTTATAACTTCATTTAAAAGTTTTTATTGGATCTAAGCTAATTATAAAATTACATATATATATATATATATATATATATATATATAAATGCCTTTTAACATTCGTCAATCAACAACCAAGTCATAGATGCATTATCCATACGAACCAGTTCCCAGAGCTATTCGGTCCACAATCAAAATCCTCGGTTAATCATTTTCCAATCTTAGCATTAACCGTACTGCCTCCTTTTTCAAATATTTGGTTTATTATTGTAACAAGCAAAAGCACAGCCAAGCCTTAAAAAAGAAAACAATCTGAAATCTATAAATGAAATCAAGCAAGCAAATTTCCCGCAAAATAATCCTAAGCTTCTGACGGTTATTTGTTGTCTTGTTCCCCAGTGTCGAACTGCAGAAAGCAAACCTAGAGGCCCAAAATACCCAAAGCCCCGGGGGCGGCACCACTCCCGGTGCTTCCGGGGCCAGTGCTACTTCCCCCTCTACCACCACAACCACTGCCTCTCCCTTGGCCAGCGCCATCCCACTGGCCCAGCTGCTGAGCAAGCCGGGCGCCCTTAACGCCCTATCCAGTCTTACGGCCCTTGGCGGTCTCACGGAGTTGCTAGGGGGCGCCGCGGGCGCCGCAGCCACCGCCCTGCCCGTCCAGACGACGGGCGTCCATCGCAGTCACAAGGCCTTCACGCCAAGGTTGAGAAGCCCAAGTGGTCCTGGGCCCATCGACAGCGGCAAGTTCAAGTCCGAGCGAGCCAAGTACAATCCCTACTAAGTTGCTAAGCTTCCGGATGGCGCGGCGCCGGTAGCTTTGGATCAACACGGCGTGCGTCGACCTTGCTAGCACTGACAGCGGCGTCGGTGTCTCGTATCTCGAGCGACGAGTCTTCTCTTTTCTTCCTTTTCGGTTAAATTCCCACCCACTCCACATCCTACTGTTTTTTGTTCTTTTTTTGTTCTATTTTTTTTATCATGCCCTTACTCGTCTCTTTTTATATGGATTTACAACTATTTGTGTTTTATTATTATTATTATTATTATTTGTAGCACTCCTTTTTCGTAGTGCGGATGGTGAACGCATACGCATTTCATTTCGACTCTCAAAAGATCTGTTATTATTTTTTGTTTTTGGTTTTTTAATCTCGCTTCAGCCAATATACCCCTACTTTATTGAATTGGAATTTTTAGCTTGTTAATATAATGAGCTTTCTTCTTTTTAAATTCTACAAATAAATCGAGTCTTAATAATAACTACTGTTAACGATTTTTAATGACACTTTTTAAAGCTATAATAAGGTAGGAATATATTATCTCGTTGATGTTTAAAGAGACTTTGTAAAGAAAGCATTTTGTTTTAGCTTAAAATGCTCATAGTCTGTAGGTTATTTGTGCCAAAACAGAAAAAAATAATTTAACAGTCTTTGTTGGTGAAATGAGAATGAGATAGAAGAATGGTGTGTACTTGCAGCGGTATGCCATCGCGCCGTTTGATACAGAGCCAATAATGGCCCCATGCAATTTGATAACATTTGCCTTTTGATTATTTAATTTGAATACAAGCATTGTACTTGCTTATTATACTTTTACAATATAAAGAAATAATTCTTTTTTCTGTCTCAAAGAATTAAGAATATTAAATAGAGACATCGGCAGAACAAGACATTTGTAAACAATTAATGAAGTGCGTATTCGTGAGTAGCCGCAAATGTATTATTTTATACAGCATTACTATTTGTATAATTTTCTAAAAAAGGAAATTATATATGATTGAATAACTGAAAAAAGGGAGAAAAATTGAAAAATATGAAGGAAATTAATTTATGCCCATGCGTCGCGGCTCCTCACTAATTGACGTTTTTTATACTATATGAACACGTTACACGAAGCATATAAACATTATACTCGTTTTCATTGATGTATAATCGCGATTTATATTTGCACGATCAGCGATTTTAATCAAGTCTTTTTTCTAGCGTGTAGCCATTTACTCATTTGTACTAAACTGTAATCTTTTTAACATAATTTCTTTTTCTTTTTGGTGACGAGAGGTAATGTTTTCTTCTTTCTTTGTCGATGCAAGTGTATGTATCGTAAATAAATAATGATGTGAAAATTGAATGACTGTGTGAGTGAGAAAGAAAGCGAATATATAAAAGGTAATATATAAGGCAATTAATTGACGGAAATAAAGAAAGTTTGGTGGTTTAATTATAGCATGTATCCGAAGATTGAACATAATCTTTAATTATATGTTTAATATGTTTAATCGCATAACCAAAAGTCATAATCATGTATTTGTTCTGAATGACTGAGATAAATTAAAAGAAGTAGAAAAATGATGCAAGTTATAAAGCTCGATGCACAAAAAAGTTGGATAAAGTAAAATTAAAATTTCGGTGAAAAATAGAGCTTAGTCTCATAATATTAGAAATTGTTTTCTGATACTTAGATTAATTATCACCATATTATATAATAATTATATACGCGCGTGCGCCCACACACGCACACATGCATATATATATATATGAGTGGGTGTGCACGCACGCATTTAGATGCGTGGACCATGTGTAAACTATGTGTGTGCATGTGGGCGCATGTGAACGTATATACGTATTCGCATATAATATAGCAATAGCAATATAACTTTATCAATAACCTTATAAAATTAGAATTAGAATGTCCGTATTTGCGATTGTCATGAATTCAGTGCGCGAACAGCATTTTACTTTATTCTCTTTTGCTGCTTTTTTTTTTTTTTTTGATTGTACAGATATTTTTCGCGTTTATGTATGAACGAGCAAACAAAAAAATTTGAGCAAAGAATGAAATTAGACGAGCGTGTCGACATTCCTTGATCTTTTCTGTTTACCTTTTTTTTTTTTTTTTACGTCTAATATAGTGAACAGAAAATGGAAAATGTTATTGAGTAGAATCAGTGAACCACGCAAATGCAGCATCTTTTGTTTTTTAAAAGAAAAAGCATAAATAATCAAACAAATTTTCTTGGCTTTCTTATGTTTAAGATTTTGATTTTATGAATTATATTTTCGATATATTGTATTTTGTTAATTCGGTTTTGTGGTATTTTGTTCACAACAATTATCAAAAGTTTGCTTAATATGCATTCATTTTGTTATTAAGAACGTAAATGAAACTTAACTTTCCCGTAATAAGTAAGTGAACATAAGAGTAATCTAAAGTAATTTTTAGTTGTGTATGTTCGCGTGTGTTTATATTTATGTAAAGGAATGAAAAGGAGATAAAGAGTGAGAGAGATTTGCATTTATGTAAGCGAATGAAGAAAAGAAAGAGGAGATGTGAATGAAAGATAAGCGCGAAATTTAGAAACATAATGAACGCTAGTGTGGAAATTATGCAGAATTTTGTTTAGATATTAATTAACGTCAATAATGTGCTTAGATATTGATTGGCTACTCTGTATCATCTTACTGAATAAAGAGCTAGGCGTGTTTACTACGAGAAAAAAAAACTATTCTAAGATCTCTTTTAGCCTCCTCCAAAATCAAAGCCAAATGTATTATTTAATATCTTTTATTAATTTTAAGTTAATTCGTCAAATATTATTAATTGAAAGATTTATTATTTGATGATAATTAAATCACGACATTGGATTATTTTGAGTTGAATAAGAAATACTTAACTTTAATTTAAAAGACATTTTAGCTTATGCAATATGAAAATCAGCTTTAGGATTTATTTCTACGAATTTACATAAAAATTATATATAAAAAATGTGTATAAACGAGGTATTTTAAATTTTATTATTTTATTTTATTTAGAATGAAATACTTATTACATTTTCTAATTAATCCAATTATCTAAATTAAATATATGCGCTCCTTATGTGTAATTATTTTCTAGAATGAAATTGGAATACAGAAAGGCAGATTTAAGTATTATTATTTTCTTATTAATATAGAATATGTAATATATTACTTTAATTTTGTTCAAATTATTGAAAAAAATAGATTTAGATAATAATAGTATTAAATTTTAATTGAATCGAATATATGATAAAAGCAAAAGTGATGACGGAGAAATACTTTCAATGAGATGTTAAAAAAAAGAAAGGAAATGAAAGTAAGAAAGAGAGAAAGAAAAAAGTGAAGATGTATCCATCCAACCAACTTGACCCAGGCTCCTGCCCGTTTTCGGTAAGCACTGTCCGCTCCTTTTTACTCCTCTTAATCTGCTGATCCCGTTAAACCGTATTGTTTCTCTGGCAAAGCTGTCTTTTGCATTGAGCAGATCAAAACTTTGCCATGAACTTGGAAAAAACGGATCTCATTTGTAAGAAAAAAGAGACAGTTTCTCCCGTTATTTGTACATTGAATGCACTGTCACTTTAAACGTCTTAAAACAAAGTACGTTACATTTTTTTTACTTTTCTTTCAAAACCTTTTTCTTTACCGTAATTTATAAAGGCCGTTTTTAATAAAAATTTTAGTTACTTCTAGCATGTTATTTCTTTTTAAATGGAAACATCTTTTTTCTTAAGAAATTATTGAGCTTTTTTCGTTATAGAGAATACTCTTGATATTGTTTGTTTTATTTTTTCAGACGACTTATCAATACATTTCTATTTACTTGGTCTAAAAAGTGAATTAAATATAAAATTTCATTCAATTTAACAATATATTGAATACAAAATTGTACATTAATCTTTTGAAATTAACTAATTAAAAATATATTGAAATAAGCTAAATTTGATTAAAAAGAATGTTTTTTAAAAGTATGCATAAAATTTGATATAAATCACAATAATGTAAGTTGTAATAATAATTTTCTGAGTGCACACAGTAATAGATATGACTTCTCTCTTTCGAAAATGGCATGTCTGTATCAACAATCGAATTATATTTTAACAAGTGTATTTATGTTCAACATTTTATTTTTATATTAATAATTTATAAAATATATGATACGAATATGGATAATTGTAAAATAAAAATGATTAAACCTTTCATTCAGTGACGTAATAGTAATTTGTCATTGTAATATGATTTGTATTTAATTTTATAAATAAAAATACTAATCTTTGTATGTGTAAGAATTCAAGGTATATCAATGGTTATCTTTATGAGCTCCAATTTTCTATTGAATGCATTAATAAGAGTTAAGAGAATTTGAAATTATTATAAAATTATATTTTGAATTTCTGAATCCAATACTTATGTGTTTGATTTATTTATAGGAATTTTAACTGTAACTCGAAAAATATTACTTTATGCTTCTCGTATATTACTTTTTTTAAAGTAAAAGTAAATGGTCGCACGTTTTTATTATATTACTATTTTATAATTAATTTATTATTTTGATACAAAAAGTCAATATAGTTATTAATTCATAAATACACTCGTGTATACTAATTTAGAAGCGATTGTTGATGTAGTCATACTAATTTTTAATAATAAATATACAATACTAAAGCAAACCTTGTGAATTAATTTTATATATGTGAATTAACATTTTTCTTCTCTGTTTTAGGATATCGATTGAAACCGGGGGCATGGCAATACCTGCATTTCAGTACATCACCCCTAATCACATTGTCAAGTCATCAATTCATTAGGAGAGTTCGCATCTTCTGAGTAGCGTTGTCGTCATCAACGTCGCCTGTAACAGTCGCTCACTGCTGACACTCGACGATCGCTACAACACGCTAGATGGCGCTACGGTGATCAGTCGTAATGCGCATGTGCGCTGCCGGCATAAACAACTCAGGAGCCAAATGGATCTTGATAAGGCACGAGAAGTAATCGTAATAACGGGAATCATAAGTGAGATTATAAGAGTAAAGAAATACGAGTGGTACATTCGCTTATCTATTGATAACCTCAACATCTGGAGGGTCATGTAAATGTTGAGCAAGATGCGTGTATACCAAGAATGGAAACCTTATAAAAAGTTACAATAAGGATTTCTTGAAGGATCATAAATAGTGCCACAATATTTATGTTAAAAAAGAGCAGGTTAAGCGGTTAAATAGACGATCTGAATAAACAACGAGGAAAGCGTCATGAAATATATTCAATCTCACTCGAGATGGTAAAGAGCATAGAAAAGAAAGGAGATTTGAATGTTGACGAGGTAAAAATTTCCACATGGGACTTATTTATATAAAAGATACACGTACTACACATAACATATGCAAATAAAAGTAAATAAAATATATTGCTACAGAAATGAATGCAACGCATTCATAACAATTGAGAGTAGCAAACATAGCTAGCTATCTGTAGAAGGGATAATTGTAAACACTTTAGTGTAAAAAACTGTACAAATTATTTACGATGAAAAAAAATGAAATAAATGAAAAATTTGAAAAAAAGAAAAAAATTAATGAGCATTGCAGCTATCTGCTGCTGCTGCTGTTGATTGGTAAAGGGAACAAGCCAAAGATAAATTAGTTTTCATTTTTATATTTAATAACGAATACAAATAAAGGAAAAGAAACTAATAGCTAATATCGCAGATTTGGAAGTTTTTCAAGGAAAAAATGGATAACATAGTTTATTCCACATGCAAAAAAACTTGTGCAACATTGTATTATCGACTGTTAATTAAGCATCTCACCTG